AAATTTAATTAATAATAAAAAATAGCAAATATAAATTTGTTGAATGAGGTTACAAGTTTAGTTAAAGTTAGCACATTTATTTTTTAGCACATTTATTTTTACACATATATTTATAACTTATATAGTATAAAATTGCACACTATTTTTCTATTAAGATTTTTCAAGACAACTTTATTTTTAAGAAGTTTTTGCTCACACCCAACAACCAAAATTAATAGTATTCAAAACTACAATTCTAAATGTAAAACGACAACTATCTTTACTTTTTAAGATACTTTTGTTATTTTTCGTACTATTTACAATTTTTTACATTTTTCGTAAACAACAAAAACTCCCTTGGGATAATTATGTGCAAACAGACGCAAAATGAAATTACGACATATGTACACAAAAGATTTGTAAACGCTATTAAATTATAATAACGTTTACAAATTAGCTATTAACATCTCCCCAAGAACTGAGTTCTCAAGGCAAATAGTCATTTAAATATGTCGAAATTTTCCGTTTACCAGTCGAACGTCTAAACAATTATCCATGACTTCAATACCGTCATTTTCTTCGTCAGCAACTGACTCTTCATCAACTGACTCTTCAACTTCCTCGCAATATGTAAATCGTCGATCTCACTTTTGTCGCTTTCTTTTTCTTCAACACTATTTATTCTATTCAGTAACCATTCTCACACCTCTCACATGTCGTGGTACACCATCAATTTCAATATTTGTTTTTGAGAGTATATTAGTCATGTTACCAATTTTTCAAATCGTCGTACACTTTGCACCAACAGGACGAACATAAACTTGTTCTCCAATTCTATAGGTTGCCGAGTCCTTTTGTGGTCTTTCGTGACTTTATGTGTTGTTCTCCTAGTGAATAGGTAGACGCTAGACGTACTTATTTTTTAGAGAAGCAGGTGTAGAGTCTTCTTGCGTTCCAATCATTGGTGTTGCATTATACCAAAAAAATGCTTGTAACGGACATATCTGTGCTCTCGCAGATGTTTTGCTGTGCGGTGGTTACGCTCCACGATTCCATTTTCTTATGGTCTATATGCACATCTATACATCTTTTGTACACACCATTTTGCACGCATGTTTGACAACTCATTTGATCTAAAGACAGCTCCATTGTCCATCAATAGTTCGTGTGGCGGGCCATGCTCCCTAAATACGGAATCCAATTGAATTAATATACTTTTTGTAACTTCGTGTAGCACCTTTCTCCATACTGCGAATCAACTTGGTCCACAGTCAATCATTGTTAAGTACGGTGACCCTTTATAGTGAGTTAAGTCACATGTAATACGATACGATGTATCTGGTACATCTAGCACTCCATGTTCCCATTTTATTGGTGCTGGATCAATTGAACTACATTGACAACATTTGGGCACACAGTCTTCAACGTCTTTTCTCGACACTTGCGGGATTCTTTGATGTACTGTAAACATTGTTTGATTAACGCCAAAATGATGCTTCGAGTGACATTTACGAATTTCATCGACAATATTTACCCCACATAATTCTTTAACATTTTTTTGTGAAATTTCATTTAACCACTTTTTTGAAACTCTTGTCAATACATCTGTTTTGTTTTTAGAAGACGGAACCCATTTCACTATGATGTTCATACTGTATTTCTTTATTAAATCACGCAATAATAAAAGTCTTTGTTTGATTAGCATTTCTGATAGTCCATTTGACCGAACCCTATGACTTTCAGTCTGCACACTTTTTAACCATCCATGAACAGTTACCGAGTCGGTAAATATCGATAGGTTCTTGATGTCCCACTTAACAGCTAGGATTATTCCACGCACCACAGTATCTAATTCAGCCATATTAAAATGCATGACATAATTTATACTTCGTAGCCATGCTGCATCATCAACTATTACGCCGTTATATTCAATTGTAACACCCATTGCAATACTACTAGTATCACACCACAATATTGCTCCATTTCGAATACCATCAGCATTTCATGTCCCCTAGGCAGATACCGATGTGGAGGTTCCTCCCCCCCCCTACATATATTTATTTTTCTTCAGTTTTTAAATAATTTTTATTATTAATATTTATACAGGAAATCATGATAAAATTGATGTAAGTACTGTATATTTCACTTCAATCCCATTTAAACACGAAAATGAACTTTATAAATTATTGCAAAGCCACTTTTTGTGCTTTAACTACAGTAAACTCATTGATTATCTTATCATACTTCAAATTAGTACTTATTTCATGTTCAATGCTCAATAACTTAATAAAAATTTTAATTTCTTTATTTTCAACTTTTTGGGGGCCCTTAAACGTTGGGGGCCCTAGGCGGCTACCTTATTTACCTTATAGCACGGTCCGGCACTGATGGTAGGATCAGTGGTAGTAAAATTTAGATTTTGGGTTTCCGTAATTTTATATATATATATATATATATATATATATATATATATATATATATATATATATATATATATATATATATATATATATATATATATATATATATATATATATATATATATATTTGTATAGATTTCGATATATAGAATATATTCGAGGTTAAGTATTTTGATGTAATAATACGAAGTCTCTTGTACGTGTTACAGTGCTCAATATTACTGAATAATAGAGCTATATATAATTATATTTAGATGAATAAAAACAACTGATTAGCGGGACTATAAAAAACTTATAAAAAATTATTTAAGTTGTAATTTTAATGCTTATTTTTAAAATAAGAAAGCTTCTACTCAACTTTAAAAGTTACATTTTTCGCTAAAATTCCTATTATCTTATAAGATAATTACTCCAGCTTGAAGTGATAAATTTTCAGAAATTGCTGGTGTCTAATGGCCAGTTGAATTATTAATAACACTAAACCTCTTTTGTTTTTCATTAGTAAAATAAACTTTTATTTTAACTATGTCAAACAAAGTTATTAAAATAAAAAACATTATTAAGATGCACGTGAAAAATATATATTATTGGCTATTAATTCAACTTGTTCAGATTTGCAAAAAAGTCAAGAAAATTAGGAATTTTGTGAAAATGGTTACTTTTGTCAAAAAGTGCTTAAAAGTGTGGTTTAGACTTTTAATTTAAAAATGATTTTAAATTATCACGAAAATAAAATAACATGTTTTAGAACTTTGCCTCTAGACAACCCCTTCACATCAATGTGAAATAATATAATATTATTAAATGCTACGTAAAGCACAACCTTTTACGATAATCACGGCATTTACAATGTTTTTCAGAATTTCTTGAAATTCTTGTAGCAAAGATTTAATTGCTAATTGTACAGTGAGTTTTGATGACAGCCGGCCATAAACCTAAAGATCATATAAACAGAGTAAATAACTTTTATTTAATCATAATGTTTTTATTAAAGTTTTATCAAATTTATGGCTTTAAATTGTTTGCAAAAGTAAATAAAATATGACTTTGCATTGACATCGCAAATGGTTGACGCTTTTTTCAAACCGTTGAAAATAACTTTTTAAAAGGAAAAAAGTAAAAAAGAAAAGAAAACATTTATAAATTAAACTAAAAATGAAATCAACAAAAAAGAAGAATAAATAAATCTTGTAAAAGAAGAAAAGAAAAAAAAACATCTGAAAGAAAATAAGTAAAAAACTTACGAAAATAGAAGTTAAAAAAAAAACGTTAAATGAATGAAATATAAAAACAATGCCAAAGAATGAAAAAAAAAAAAAAAAAAAAAAAAAAAAAAAAAAAAAATTTAAAGAGATGAACCTCGATCGGCAAATCTAGATTTTTATTTATTTTTCATACATTTTTTTAGCTTTCTTTCATATATTTCTTAGGATTATTTATTTTATTATTTATTTATTTTTCTTCAATTTTTTAGCGTATATAGTTTTACTTGTTATTTTTTGTTAGTCATTTGTTTGTTTTTTAGTTATTATTTATTTTTAGTGGTATATAAATTTTTTATACAGTTATATATTGTTTGTTTTTATTTTCATTTTTAGCCATATATGTTTAATTCTACCGTTTTTTGTTATTATCTTTTTTAATTTTAAGTTTTTTTGTTGTTGTTGTTTGTTTTGTTTATTTTGCATAGTTTTTTGTTTTGTTTCGTAATGATTGTTGTAAACTTGTTTTGTTTTGATTTTCTCAGTGTTTTTCTGTTTATATTATATTTATTTATTTGGTCATAATATTTGCAATATATTTTGATTATTATATTTTTACAACTATGATTATATTAATATATTTACTAAATCTTTAATTTTTTTTTAGTAGTAGTCGTTTTTATGTCATCGTTAGTTGTTACGTTTTGTCAGTTTATTACTGTTTGTAACTGTAACTTTGCATGTAAAAATGATTGCTGTAGGGAAAATACCGATTATTTAAATTATTATAATTACTTTATTGCTATTGTTATTATTATTATTATTATTATTATTATTATTATTATTATTATTATTATTATTATTATTATTATTATTATTGTTATTATTATTATTAACCCCTTAAGTGTGTCTGACGGATATATCCGTCTTTCATTGGTGTAGCTCTATGTGTGTCTGACGGATATTTCCGCATTTTGGAACTGTTGCACCGTTTGTGACTGACGGATATATCCGTTTTTTATATGAGTTAAACAACAGATCAGATATGATATGTTAAATGGTTCTTTGTTTATTCCTATTATGTTATAGCTTTTAACAAAAGTATGGTCTTCATTTTGTACTCTAGAGTTTTTCAAAGTATAGCTATTAGCTTGATATAACAATGCTTTAGTTTAGTGAAAAAGTAAGCATGGCTGCGGCAAGAAAATCTTATCCTAAAAGAAGTAAATATTCTGTTCAAGATCTAGTTGAATATACAGGAGAAAATGATGAATTATCTGATCTCAGTTCTAATAGTGTTTCTTCTAATGAAGGTTCAATTATATCTGTTACAGAAGAAGAAATTATGTGAACATCAGCAGATAATGATAGTGAAACTAGCCTTGTTGACATTGATGTTATGCAATTAAATCAAAAAAATACAAACGATGAACCAAATTGGATAAAAATAGATGGTTATAAAGCAAATTCTGCTAAATTTGAAGGTAATCCAGGACCTGATCCAAGTTTTCTAGTTAATAGCAGTCCTCTTACTATATTTGAAGCATTTGTAACAGACGACCTTGTTGATCTTATTGTCGAGCAAAGTAACCTTTTCGCAGTACAATATCTAAAAAATAATGTAATTAAAGGTAGATCTCGAGTTCAAAAATGGACACCTTTAGTCAGAGCTGACATCAGACTCTATATAGCATTCATTTTATATCGTGGAATCCTATGGAAACCAACAAATGCAATGTATTTTTCAACAAATCCTCTGTTTGACACACCTTTAATAAGAAAAGTGTTATCTTTTGATAAGTTTTGTCTTATTGAGAAGTTTCTTCATTTTGTTGATAACAGTAGTTTACCAATACATTCCTGTAAAAAAGCAAAAATTGAACCCATCTACGACTACCTAGTAAACAAATTCAAAACTCTGTACATACCAAATAAAAATATATCGATCGACGAATCGTTGCTGCTTTGGAAAGGTCACCTAAGCTGGAAGCAATACATTCCAAGCAAACGTTCCAGATTTGGAATGAAGTCTTTTGCATTATGTGAATCAGCTACTGGGTATATTTGGAATTGTTTCTTGTACACTGGTAAGGAAATGACTGACGGTTTTGCTCTTGACATGCACAAATACAAGTATCAAGCTACTAAAATTGTTATTACGCTAATGGATAATTTAATTGGTAATGGCTATTGTTTACATGTTGACAACTGGTATACATCTTATGAAATTTGCAAGGTATTACTGGATCATAATACTGATTGCATTGGCACATTACGTATTAACCGAAAACAGTTACCACAAGATATAAAAAATGCTAAGATTAAAACTGGCGATACTTTAGTTCGTTTTGATACTAAAACAAATATAATGTGTACCAAATGAAAAGACAAAAAAGATGTACACATGCTGAGTACCTGTGTTCAAAATGATACAGTCGTTGTTAATAGAGCTGGTAAAGAAAAAAATATTCCTCTTGTGATACATGAGTATAACAAAAACATGGGTGGTGTTGACCGATCTGATCAAATGTTAACAACATACGAATCCGAAAGAAAAAGGGTGAAAAAATGGTACAAAAAGATTTTCATGCATTTGATTAGTGTTAGTGCATTCAATGCAAATATTATAAACAATAAAATATCACCTAATATGACATCCTTGCAGTTTAGAGAGTCCATTATTAAAGAGAGTATTGTCAAGTACCATGAATCAGTTGAGAAAAAAAGAAGTCGAACTCGAGTATTACCATCTCCTTTAAGATTAGTAGAACGTCATTTTGTCGATGCTATACCAGCAACAGAAAAAAATATAAAACCATGTAGAAGGTGTGTTGTCTGTTCTGAAAACAAAGTTAGATCAGATACCCGATATATGTGTGTAGACTGTAATGTTGGTTTATGTGTTGTGCCTTGTTTTAAGTATTACCATACAAAAGAAAACTTTAAAGGTTTTTGTAAATAATTAATATTTTGTTATTATATTCTTAGTGTTTTACAAATCTGAGTTTTATCTTTATTAAAATTTGTAAAAATTTTAGTTCTTCATTAATATTGTTATCAAAAAATTAGAAATGCAATTTTTTTTTTTTTTTTTTTATTATACAAATTTAGCGTACTAAACGAAAGTAAATTTGACAACTTAAAGCGATCATTAACAAAAATATTTTGCCGTAAATAACAACGCGATGTTTAAATTTACGCCACAGTTAAGGGGTTAAGATTAATTGTATATATATAAATTATTTTTTTTTAGGTATTTACTTGAGATTAGTATTTCAATACTATTTGTAAATAGCCTTGAAAATTTATTTTCAGAATATATATGATTGATTGATTGATTGGTTGATTGATTGGACTTAAAGTTTCATGCCCGAAGGCAATCATCAGCCGTTAATACAAACAAAAAACGTAAACAAACCGTTACAAAAACGTAAAAATTACTGTAGAATGATATCTGACGTTATAAACAAATCTACGTAAAAAACAAATCAAAAAACAAAAAACAAAAAGCCATTATAGTTTATTAGTATATATATATATATATATATATATATATATATATATATATATATATATATATATATATATATATATATATATATATATATATATATATATATATATATATATATATATATATATATATATATATATATATATATATTTATATTTATATAAATCAATGACTAATTGACAGTATATGCAAGATTAAAAAGGTTATAATATAAACTTTTAAAAAGTTTACTAAAAAAGTTGGTGCTACAATTTTTATGCATTAAAAGTAAAAAATTTATCACAAAAGTACAAATTTTCAACTTTGATTTAAAATTAAAAAATAATTTCAATTTATACCTTTTGCGTACTTTGATGTTTTTTCGTTTATAGCGTCTACTAACTACCATGAGAAGTGTGGCTGCAATGATCCGCAATTTTGAGCGCTAAATAATTTTGAAGTAATAACAATTTTCAAATGTGATAAAATGTTTATTTTTACTTTGTAAGCATTTTATTGTGAACTAAGGTGACTGATGAAGGTGATTTAAGACAAATGGTAGAAGGTTTCGAAAAATCTTTTCGAAAATTTAGATTGTTAGTTTAAATAGATAAATACTGATAATCGAGTCAAAAAAGACTAAGTCAATTTATTAAGAAAAAGATTAAAGCTAACTCAATAAAACAAAGTTTGTTGCAATATGATCAAAATTTTTTGAACTTTTTATTTTCTTATAAAATTGTATAAAATTGCCTTAAAAGAAATATTTTTTATTTTTTTACATTTTTGAAATAAGTACACAAAAAAAATAATATTTTGATATCGTTTGTTTTGTGGCTATCAGAAACCGCTAGAAATTTTCAGAAAAATTCTAAAATAGCTTTAAAATGAGAGCAATCGTTCAAGCAAAATAGTTATGAAGCGATTTTTAATAAATATTCCTTATTCCAGGGTTTCATGATGAGCTAAACTCAATAAAAATGTATAAGGCTCAATTCAAAAGAAAATACAATAAAAGTGACGTCGACGATAAACTTTACCGTCGTTATTTAGAATCGCAATTGATTATGAAGCATAAGTAATTGATTATAAAGATAAATATTGGCATATAAAAATAAAATGTTTGAAATTTGGAGATAAAATGAAATTGCATAGAAAATCTTTTTTAAATTTAAAAGTAATATAATTTATTCAAATTGAAGTTTGGGCTGAACTTTATTTGATTTACAGTTTAGATTTATGAAGTTTTGCAATCTTTTGACCTTAAAATAAAAACTATAATGTTTTAATAAAAAAGCGTTTCATAACTATTTTTCTTACACCATTGCCCTTATTTTAAAATTATTTTAGAAATTTAAAAATATCAGCGCTCACTGATAGGTGGTCCGCTTATTGTTTATATATGGATTTATGTGAGCAAACAATTGAAAAAAGAAAACTCTTTTTTTCTTAAACAAAGGATTTTAGAGGTGACAGTAAAGTTACATATAACAAATTTATTACTTTCTCTTTATGGGTTATTATAAAAAATTATTTAACTTTCTTTTATCAGATTCCGAAAATACTAAAAGGGGTGACTATGAATCCTTTATATAGCAGTCGTATATCTTTACTGATATGGGCCCGACGTCATTTTTTTGATATCGGCCCAACGTTGTTTTACTAATATCGGCCCGACGACATTGGGACTACATCATTTTGATGAGCAAAAACAACGTCGGTTCAACGTAGTTAAACTACCGTCGACCGCTGTAAAAGTCAATGTTGTGCCGACTGCTCTTTTACGGTGCTCTTTAATGCGACAGTAAAGGTATTTCAAATGAATAAATTAAATTTCAAATAGATAAATTAAATTTCAAACGAATAAATTAAATTTAAAAAAATCCAATACAAACCTACCTAGATATATAAAAGCTATAAGCCTCTTTTTGAAAATGTTTGTAAAAGTTTCTTAAAAAATTATTACTCTAATCTTAGTACTAAATATAAAAATAATATTTATTTAAAAACTATGGCATATAAAATTCGCCGAATGGTCACACACGAGCAGTGAACGCCTGAGGGAAGAAATGAAATACATTAGAATAAAGGAGAATTATTTATTAGACAAAGCATATTTTGACAGTTGTCAAGACAAAAATAAAGATTAATAGAGGAATAATTAACAATAAGACAGGCTATACAATTAAAACAGTACTCAACAATAATAACAATAAAAAAAAAAAATTAAAAAAAATTAAAAAAAAATAATTAAAAAAAAATATATATATATATATATATATATATATATATATATATATATATATATATATATATATATATATATATATATATATATATATATATATATATATATATATATATATATATATATATATATATATATATATATATATATATATATAAATGAAAATAAAAAAAATAAAAAAATGTTTTATAAATACCAATATGAACTAAAATATATAAGAAATACATAACCAGTCAAAAATTTGAAAAACAAAAAACCATTCAACAAATTAAAAATATGCTAACAACAATGAAAGGACTAATAATGGAAAAAAAAACAAAACATTAATGCTAATGTGTAAACATAATTAGTGTAGTGACCAAGTAATAAACATCTCCTCAGAGTCGCGTCTATTATTACTGGCTTTTCGATGAGGATCAGCATTTATAACTAGTTTATCCCGTCAGACAAACGTCACTTATGCTTTACCCCGCGTCACTTATGCTCTACCCCGCGACTTACGCCTATTCCATACTGCAGTAAAAAAGGACTCACTACAAATAGCCAAAACCCAACCAACCCCAAATATGTAAAGCACCAATATTTTTTTTGATGATACGATATAAAAAGTATAGATTTACTGAACAAACAAAAATAAAAATAACTAAATAAAACACTTACCGTACCACCAAAAGAAAACATGAAAACAAAATAATTTAAAATTCTAATAGAAACATAAAAATATTAATCAATTTATTTTAAAAAATTAAACCATATAGGTATTATTAGCATAAACAAGCCCAAGATAATCAGAAAGCAGTATACCTCATTAAAATTTTTTTTTTAATAAACAAAACAATACCCATAAATAAACTCTAACGCTGTCATAGATACCTCATTCGAAATATGATAACCAATCAAAAGTGTAGGAAAATGAGTAACCCGCGAAACCCAAAATCATAAAAATAGAATAATATATGAGAGCGAAAAAGAACGTTGCACAAAAACCTTAAAAATGTAAGCGACATATATGTAAACATTAAATGAAGGATATAAAAATGTAAGCGACATATATGTAAACATTAAATGAAGGATATAAAAATGTAAGCGACATATATGTAAACATTAAATGAAGGATATAAAAATGTAAGCGACATATATGTAAACATTAAATGAAAGATATAAAAATGTAAGCGACATATATGTAAACATGAAATGAAGGATATAAAAATGTAAGCGACATATATGTAAACATGAAATGAAGGATATAAAAATGTAAGCGACATATATGTAAACATGAAATGAAGGATATAAAAATGTAAGCGACATATATGTAAACATGAAATGAAGGATATAAAAATGTAAGCGACATATATGTAAACATTAAATGAAGGATATAAAAATGTAAGCGACATATATGTAAACATTAAATGAAGGATATAAAAATGTAAGCGACATATATGTAAACATGAAATGAAGGATATAAAAATGTAAGCGACATATATGTAAACATTAAATGAAGGATATAAAAATGTAAGCGACATATATGTAAACATTAAATGAAGGATATAAAAATGTAAGCGACATATATGTAAACGTTAAATGAAGGATATAAAAATGTAAGCGACATATATGTAAACGTTAAATGAAGGATATAAAAATG